GAGGTTGTTCCGGGGATCCGCTGTAACCACTTTTCTAGCTTCGGGGTCACTGCCCCGAGTGCACCGATCACCACGGGCACTACTGTCACCTTTACCCTCTGAGACTCTCAAGCTTTTCATGTTCTTTTTTCCGGATGCTTTTCATGTTCTTTTTTCCGGATGTTACCATCGCTTGGAATTGCCACGTCCACCACCACGGCTGTCCTCTGCCCTTTGTCTACCACCACAATGTCAGGTTGGTTCGCCATTACCATTCGGTCGGTCTGTATCTGGAAGTCCCACAGGATCTTTGCACGCTCATTCTCCACCACCTTTGGAGGAGTTTCCCACTTAGACCTTGGGGTTTCCAGCCCATACTCTGCACAGATGTTTCTGTACACTATGCCTTCCCTGCCAGCATCTTAGACCCTGCAGTTATGTGTTGGATCGTCTCAGGTGCCTCTTTGCACAACCAACACCTTGGGTCTTGGTGTGGTATATCTGGGCCTCTATCGCTCTGGTGCTCAGGGCCTGTTCCTGTGCAGCCATGATGAGCGCCTCTGTGCTGTCCTGTAGGCCAGCCCTTTCTAGCCATTTTTGTTTGTTTGAGTGACCTATTACTTTCACAATAGGACGTGGAAGTGGAAGTGACGTGTTCAAGCTGTTTAGGGAAATTCAACATATCCAGATTGACAATATTACACATGGACTGGAAAAAAGGAACCGCTACACCAAACTAAATTTCCCTTCAAACAGAGAAGCTAAGGAAAATGCTTTTATCCACCACAGTTAAGAAGAGAATCCAAAAAGCTTAGGGTACACTGTCAAAATTTAAAATTATTAAACATGAGGTAATAATTGCTTGAATAGAGTACAATCTGACCATCTTAAAACTAAATTTAATATGAGACAAAACCATTGAATCTTAATTCAAGAACTGTTTCTCTATTTTCTCATTCCAAGGGAAAAATGTCTTGTATCTTTTGAAAACAAGATAATGTTGCTTGTCCCATTGAAAATCTTACTTTAAGTCAGTCAAAATCTGCTAAAAACATATCCATTTTGCCAAGTTTAGGCAATTTTTTATCACCTTTTGCAGTGTGCTCTTAGTTACTCTCAATCAAACGGCCTATATGATGTTTTGCTGAGTATATCCATTTTTATATATATTCTGACCATGTGCCTTTTTGGCACTTCTTTGTAAAAAATGTGTCGATGTAGTCTGTAGTCCGTGCTATAGAAGGCCACCTCGCAGGCTATAGAACGACGGGATAGTAAAATCATGACAAATGGATCATATATGCATGTCTCGTGTGCATCGCTCACATTATGCAAGCTCACAACACACAAAGCCAGCTGCTGCGCCTACTACCTCTGCCGGTGCACTCCAAGTTTGGATGGCACTTGTGAGGGAACAGCGATAATCCTCCCTCAGAAAAGCAAACTCCAGACAACAAATACAGTGTGTCATCCAATCTAAAATGGCAGAGTTTCTTTGCAAAGTCTGTGCGCAACGTACCATTGAAAAGTAATAAAGAATTCTACGGCTGAAGGGGCGAGACTCGAACAGCGGCAGGCTTCATCCAATCTCATTAAATGGCGTTGTTAACCATGTTTGGATGCCCCACAAAATTGACTCTTGCCTCTTGAATAATTCTCCCACTGTCAGAAAGGTAAAACAGACAAGAGGAGGAGAAGAGAGAGAGAGAGAGAGGAAGGAGATTGAGAGAGAGCCTTGAAAGGAAAGGGTCAGACCGGGGAGCACTGTACGTCTCATCTTCGGCAGTTAAAAACGAGCGACCTTGAGCCTCCTTGAACTGAATTTCAATAAAAGTCAAATCATGGCTGATGCCCGCGGGGATGGGAGCAGAACGTGCCAAGCTCCAGCTGACTGTGCACAGAAGATGATTAAACAGTTGTACAGAGGTGTGAGCAAGTCAATCATCTGATGCACATCTCATCAGTAACGGGTGAGCCTAGGAGGCAGCCGTGGGAGAACAGGTGCTACGTGGAACATATCGCTGAAGGAATTATGGCGTTGATATTGTTTTTTTTTACTTTTTCACAAGTCTATGGAAGTATTAAAACATTATCGTCTACAAAACGTAACCCAACTATATTTATAATTACTGCATACAGTATAATGCCTGATCCAACTGAGTTTTCTGTGACTGATGGCAAGATTTTGTTTTGATTTTGGTTGACTAGCTGCTGAGTTAGATTTAGCTTTTCAACCCTCAAAAAAACAAGGGGCAGGGGTTAATGCTAACGCACTAGTTAGCATTAAGGACCATTGTGTTGTAGAGGTTATTCCACATTTCCTCAGTGAGAATAGGTTTATAATAAACAGAAGGAGCAGAGACCATCAACAATGTGATATTTTGGTGTGGGCAGCAGGCCTTTCTGTGTGGAGTTTGCATGTTCTCCCCATGTCTAAATAGGTTTCCTCCGGGTGATCCGGTTTCCCCTACCACAAACAATCTGGCTCCCATCTCTGTGTGAAGTGAGAGGAAAAATGCCCACAACAATTGTAAAGCGCTTTTTGACTCTGATCTGTGAAAGATATAAATTACAGATGACTTACTTGCTTCTGACTTGGGGTTGGGTTTGGGTGTTCTAATTTTGTTTTGTTTTTAACACAGGTTTACGTTCTGGGTTGATTGTTAAGTTCTGACCTGCCTTTTGTACCATATTGGTCAGATGAGAGGAAGTTTAGGCCAATACTAACAGAACTATTTCAAAATCCGAGCCATAGAGAGGTGCGAGTCAGCCTCGCATTCCTCATGGGCCACTGTGGCAGGTACAGCAGGATATAGTAACAGGCGCCTTAGGGAGACAACACCACAGAGACCAACCACAGTTTATCTAAAAGTACACGAGGGAAGTGCACTCCCCTGGACACATGGCAAGATGCAAACATGATGAAGTGTTTTCTAAATGTATTGTCTTGTCCCCCGGCAGATGTATTAAGAAGCAGGTTACCGGGAGGTTAAAAGAGTGAAAAAATATCTTTTTTTTGAGCGACCTCCTCTTTATTCTTAGGATCAAGTGTGTAAAACATGAAAATCGATGACGCTCTTCCAGTCTGAGATCAACGAGGATATGCAATCTGGACACCCTATGTTTGTATGTTGCCAACTACAAAACAACGTTGCCTTCAAGGAAAAGCTTTCAACAACAAAAGTAATGTCAAAATCTTCCATACGGTATTGAGGTAATTTGCGTCTGACTTTTGTATGTCTTCTGTACGTTCTTTACCACGGAGACAGCACTAAATTGAGCAGAGCGTGGTAGGATGTGGTTATGTATACTGAGTGGGCTGTTCTACTGGGATCTTGTTAGTGTGGATCAAACACAAACACACACACACACACACACACACAAATACGCACACTCTATACAATGTTACTTTATAGTTGCAATGAGAGAATCAAACAGGTATTATCAAAAACACCAAACCCATAATTATGAAAACTAGAAACCAAAAAGGCTAAACAGGCTGCGTCACTGCTTCCACCATCTTGTGCATGTACTATCCAAAAGAAAGCACACAAAAAATAGTAATTGAACAAAATGTGAAGTAAAATTGCAATGATGGGCAATACCCATGAGTCCGGTCAAATGAATGAGAATCTTTCCTGCAGTGATCACCTCTTCTTCCTATATCCATCTCCATAAAAATGCCAATAACTGCCTAGTGCCTCCAAGCCAAGAGCACTTTAAATGCAACCACTAAATCCACATGCTTCTCGCAGCCTTTGCCAACTGCGCCTGGGGAAGTCCATATATTTTTGGACACAATCTTTGTTTCTTCCTCCAGGGCAGAGCTGGGCAGACTACATTGCAATGAGGGAATAGAGGAAAGGAGAAAAGAATCTGCAGGCAAGAAGTATAAAATAATAAAAAATAGTTTGAGAAGGGGATCTTGACCTTACAGCGTGACGTGGAGGTGTGCTGGTTCTCTCTGAGGAGGCTCTATAGCAGGTGAGCAGCGCAGAGGATTCTCATCTCCTGAGAGGAGGCACTTGGGAGGGATGTTCGTAGGCAGGTGGATGACTCCAGCTCGACTACACCTTTTTGATTACAGATTGAACAAATACAGGAGGTGATGTTTTTTGGATTAGCACAGGATACCAACATGTGCTCATTCGGAAATAGCCAAATCTGTTGCAGTCCATGTAACTCTTGGTTGAATTTTGCCTTGAAAACTTGAGTAGACTGGGCCTTTACTGTTGCGGATCCCAAAATGTGGAATATTTTACCTCTACACATTAGAGCGGCTCCTTCATTGGTGGTTGTCGTCGTAAATGTGCTATACAAATATGGTTGACATTGACATTGAAAGCTACATTTTCGCCAAGTATACAAAGAATTCATACATTTTGGGGGGAAAAACTACAAATTGCAGTTGCTTTGGATATGTTAAAAGCTGAAGTATATTCATGAAACTATTTCCTTGAACCAATCAAATCACACATGTTTTTTGGCCTATAGCAATCCTTAGATCCGCTTTTTAACCTTGTTCTATCCTTGGGTCAAATTGACCCACAGTGATTAAAAGACAAACTTGACCAGCCCTGGGTAATTTAGATCCTTTTAGACCCTAATTTAGGGTATTTTTCTTCTAATTTTAATCACTTCCCTACACTACACAAGGGTTAAGTAAAAGGCCGAGCCAAACAGTTCTTCATATATAAACATTGTATAAGATAAAATGATTTCTTATACAACATCAGATTGTTACTTAAATAAGTCTCTCTGTTGGGACAAGTGAGGTACTTGAGTGTGAATTGGATTTGAGAACAACAGAATTGTTCCGTTTGTGGCATTTAGACAATTTAGAACATACTGCAAAAAACAATTGAATGCATCCAAAGTGTTGCATGCCTATTTTCTGATACCAACTCAATTTAGAAATAAAATCAACAATCCGTTCATAATTCACTCTCCCAGCTAATGATGGGAGGGGTGAATCATTAGAAACACCCCTGCCCTCCAAACAGTGACTGTTGGACGGACTGATGGTGCAGAATGACGGCCTCATCTCTTCCAGTCAGACCCGCGGAAAGATCTCGATGGGAACAAATGCCAAACCGCTGACAATGGGCCGAGTCAAAGGCCAGTGGTGTGTTGGTAATTTGGAGCTTGTGTCTCGCGCGCATAAATCTGCCTGACATGTTGGTGACCTCACTTGAGTTGGCACCCATAGGACACCCACGCTCTTGAGCTTTGGCCTGCAGCACAGCGCCCAAATGTCACAGCTGTCCGGGGACACGGCGGCAGGACAAACAGGAGCGGTCTCTGCCTTCATCGGTGACCGTAGTGAGGGTTGTTGTCTGCTTTGAGACAACAAGCAAAAGAGCTGGTTCTCTTTACCACTACTCTGTCATTTCGTATTTTTCCAAAAACCCGTGTGTTTTGTGAAGTGAAAGGAAGAGGTGTTGACAGCAGAGAGATACAATGTGGTTTTAACTCTATTATCAGTTGCTTAGGATTTACTTCAATGGTACTCAAATGAATAGCCAAAGAATGTGGGCTAGTGAGGCTATTTCAGAAACCGACATCAAGGGCAGGAGTAAAAACACAGCGGACATTTCGAGGCAGTTTTTAATGAGCTAAAATGGGTTACCACCAGCTTCAAAGTTGTTGTCTTGACTCTTCATTATTAAAGGCAACAACATATATACTTATACCTATTTTTAACGCACAAAATCAATATTGCTCGTATAATTGTGAATAATGAATTACGATGTGTCCCATTTTTGTTTATTGTCTTAGGAATTTTTCAGAACAATATGAGTACAATTGTGCTTGGATTGAAACATATATAGTTGGAGAAGAAGAAGGCTGGGTATTGTTGACTGATTCACATTATTTTCAAATTGAATGATTACCCATTGCCTTTTGGGTGTCATCTTTAGAGTAAGATACATAATGTGGTAGTTATCCTGAAAAAACACAAACTTTAAAATCAGATTCAGATTCATTTATTTGCCATTGCAGTAAAACCACATTGGAATACATCTGCAAAAGTCCCCAGTGTGCATAAATAAAACAAATGAGGCATGACATACAGTAAAGCCACCCCCACTGAAAGATCAAGGCTATGCTCACACTCAGAGAGCAGCCGTCCTCCTGTGGACTCACCACCTGCAGAGGGTCAGTGAGGGGCTGGTGCTATGAGACTTGGGTGGCATCTCTGACTGCCACCCCCCTGACCCAGAAATGGATTAAAGGGTAGAAAATGGATGGATGGATGGATGGACAAGAAATATTTATTTTAGCACACCCCAACTTTGCGAACCATATACATTACACTGGGTAACAAAACATTTTTTTTTTTCCAATAGTCCAGGGTTTTCCAGCTGAATTAGACTAATTTTGATGCTCTGAGTCTGAAAATGACCTTGGATTTGCTCAATCAGGTCAGGATTTTTTGCTACAGAAATATTTTTTTAAATCGATTTTGCGTAAAAAAACAGATTTCTGCAGATCATCAGCTGAGAAACCCCTGAAGTTTTTTCCGTTTTCCTCAATAAATAAAAGTCAACGTATCCAAAGTCATTCAGTTTTTATTTACTCCATAAAATTTGATAAGCAGTATTCATAATAACGTCTACGTACATAATCCGTAACACTATGGCTGTATCTCAAAAAGTTGACCTGATAGAGAAAAATGCATGTGATATATTCGGACTCATCCATCCATCCATCCATCCATTTTCTTCCCCTTAATCAATTTCTGGGTCAGGGGGGTGGCAGTCAAAGCTGCACCCAGTACACATAGCACCAGCCCCTCACTGATCCTCCTGCAGGTGGTGAGTCCACAGGAGCTGAGATCTTTCAGTTGGGGCTTTGGGCAAAGTAGGGTTAAGTGTCTTGCCCAAGGACACAACGACAGCAGTCATCAGTGGGAGTCGTGAAGTAGGTCTTACGGTGGGCTCAAACCCACGACCTTCAGGCCCAAAGGCCAATGCTCTACCAACTGAGCTACTGTATATTTCGGATTCAGAACACCAAAATTAATCTAAATCAGTTGAGAAACTCCTGACCATTTTTTGGCTGTCAACTTGTGTTATCAAACAACCTCAAAACCATATTTTCAATTCAAGCCTGTTACAACTTGAGATTATCTACTTTCTCTTAGGTTCTACATTTTCTTTCCAATTCACTGTTTTGCTCTTCTGCTGCCCAGGTTTGCAAAAAAAAGTGTGTCTAAAGTGTGCGTCTAAAGACCCGAGACGCCTGGTTAAATATGTAGTGCCACCGACCCACTTCAAGCTGTTCTTTTAGTTCACACGTCGAAAAAGCAGCCGAGCCGCCATTTTTCACTGCGCACTCCCCCACACCTCCACATGTAAATACAGCCAACACGAGCTGTAAAAGCAGGAAGCGGCCTATTAAGTTATTCCTCCGGTTGTAGTATGTCAGCGAGTTGGAAATGAGGCAGGTGCCGGTCCGGTGTGGAGGTGTTCAAAGTGGGAAAAGGCAGGATGTTGGAGACACAAGTGGCTCGCAGGTGTGCGGCTATAACAGCAGCGCGGCAAGAGCGTTTTAAATGAAATGTTAGCAGTGGAAGAGGACGGAAGAAAAATGAAAACAAAAAACTGGTGCTTGTATGTGAGGAGGATGAGCAGACGCATAGGGATGGAGACTTTTGACGAGTGCATACAACAGGTGAATTAAGAGAATAAAATTGAACTTATTTCCCACTAATTTTAGAGCTGACAGACTGTAAATAGAAATGCATTTATAAATAGATTGTGAAATTATAAATGTCAAAAACACATGGTGAAACTAGGGCAAATACTGTTGCTTGATTGGATATTTATGTTTATATATTTGCATGTGTAAAGTCATTATGTAAACACAGAAGGCCACATGTCCAAAAGGTCAATTTTGTGAATAGTTATGAATGGTTAATTTTTGTTTAAATGAATAAAGTCAATCAATCAAAAGTTTACTCATAAGGTGGACGGATAAAAAAACGTAAATAAAAAATAATCTCAGATAATTGAACTATAGAATATTAAAAAACATCAATATATATATATAGGACAATGTGTTTCCATTTCTGAATAATTGCATAATGCTAAATCCTCTGTATATCAGACAACACAGTAAAATATATTAAAGGGGACATGTAGATACTGTTCTCAATGCGATCTGTGGCTCTGTGGCTGCTTATTCAATATCTTGTCCGTATGCATTCTTTAAATTGAGCTAAAACAATGTTATGAGTCCTATTTCAGTCTCCTCATGCCATGCACAATGCCAAAAACTGAGACAAGTCCATTTTTATTTAATATTTCTGTACCAAAGTGACTTCTCTCTTACAGGTTTAAACATTGATGAGATATGTCATTAGCAGTAAAAACGCTCCCACACACTTCTACAAAAAGACAATCAGTGTTTACCAGTCTACAACGTCCATTTATCATGCACTTAAGTTGTGCAAACATCCATTTCAGCGAGTGTGTTATTAGGAGGTTGTGCTAATGTAGATGAGTGCTGGAATGACTCCCAGAGAAGTTTTCACACACGGCTACACTACCACTAAGACGCCTCTTCCAGCTTCTCTCCATGGGCGTCGTTAACCCACGTGTCCCCAAGCGGCCGCTCTACATAATGAGGCTGACAGACCAAAACAAACAACGCGTGTAGGAGAACAGGAAGGCGCCAGAGACAATGGAGCTTGAGAGGCTGAGGACGAGCAGGTGTGAGGCCGAGTCTGCACTGCTGTGGCTGCTACTGTACAACGGACCATTTAAGATTATTTTTTTGCTAGTGTTTCACAGATGTTTGCCAATCTGAGTGCTATGGGGAACTGAGCAGTTAGAACTACATTTTGACACATGTGAGAGATCAAATGTCGGAGAATGTTTTCACAAATCATGGATCGCAGAACTATGGGAACTTCTGAATGAATCAAAGTTTCTTGTTGCTTGTATTTCCTTCTCATTTTCATTGATCTTTGTAAACAAATGTCAAATGTCACTTGACCAAACCTGGAGCAGCCCCGTCTCATGAAAGGTCACTTCGGAAGCACAATGGAAAATTCTTGCTGAATTCGGATGCAATCAAACTTTTCACAAAAATCCAAGATGGCGGCCGTCAAATGGCTTTTTCATTCAGATTATAGGAGAAAATTAGGGATTATTAATGTAAATGGGCTCTAGTTTCCCCTACCACTAAAAACATGCACAATAGTGAATGGATGGTGTTCATTGGGTGATTTGAAGCGCCAGTGTGTTCCGCGACTCGCTTCCGTCATCACCGTGTATGGAATGATAGGAACAACATCTGAACTCTGAACATTGAAATGCGCTTTGGGTGACCTTGGTCTGTAAAATGCGCTATATAAATAAACATTACTTACTTACTTACTTACTAAATAATTAGAAGTGCACTACTCAACATTTCCAGTGAACGTGTTATTGCTTGCTCGTGTTCCAACTTCATCTTAATGATACTATCATGACTTGAATGTTCCAAATAATGGTATTAAACTCATCCACATTGGAACCAAATTAAGTCACTGGGCTGAGCTACAGGTTATATTGAAAAAAGACAATCCCGCTCACTGCAATAATTTCATTACAGTCATGCACTTGTTTCTAAAGCTGCATTTTAATATTAACCATTAGTTGTTTTTTTTTTTCAGAAATGTGATTTGAAACAGAAAAATGATTGAAACTTTAGAAGAGATAGAGGACTACTGGGAAAAAAAAGGTGTAGGTAAATGTTTGTGGGAAGTCAGGTTACTGTATTGACCTGAATTGAGAAGCGTATGTAGAGACATTCTGCTTCTTTGTGCCTTTAGGGTCCATTCTTTGCACTGATACCTTGCCTCTTTCCCGATGAACACATAATACAATTATTGTGCAATGTCCTTTTCCAATAGATGAAGAAAAAAAACAGCAGTATTTCTCATTAAGCCCAGAGAAAGAGCACGGCCAGTCCAGTACATGACAGCATTAGCTCAAGTGCTTTCCGTACTTAATTGTGTGCGCCCATGTGAGTTCACTCTCTGCTCTGCACCTATTGCCGAGTGAGTGCAGCTCTTTCTATGTGGAGTGTTGTGTGATTTACAATCCCTGGTGTGAGCTCCACTCCTATCCTCCTGCATAATGTCCCCATTAGAGGCTGCAGACTCCGTGGTGGTGTTCATCATTTAGCCCCAGCGCAGTGGCACACCTGGGGAGACGGGGGCCGCACGGGGACATGCTGAACATATGAGCGCTCCAAAGCAAAGTGAGGCTGTGTTATCATGTCATCAATTACACTGTGTTCAAGAGCAGCCCTGATCCGCCATTCTGTTTATTTTAGTCACAGCGCTAAAAAA